TAGGTAGTTTTAGAGTACAGTGAGACTGGCGTTATGACTAGGATGTGCTCCATCTTCCTGAGTGCTTTGCCTTGGAGAAGAACGCGTTTGCTGTTTGGTACAAAAGCGCTGTACAAATGCAGTCGCATGTGTATGGTGATGGCGTTCTGCTTTTCAGCTGCTCATTTGTGTTCAGTGTGGAGAGAAGAGTGAACTCTCCAGGTAGAATGTGACTGTGCGCACATCTTCCTCACTTCTGTTAGTTTTTGTTTCGTGTATTTTGAGGCTTATTTTTCAGATAGTTAAAGTGCTGTGCTTTGCTGAACCACATGATCATATAACTTTTTCTTTTATTCCTGATTCTCTCTACATAGGTTTCTTGTTTAATGTTTGCCGGGTGTGTTTTTTCATTCCTAACATCTGTGGTAATTATAGCATAATAAAGTGCTTTTCTTGTATACAGCATAACACTTCCCTTTTTAATCCATTCTGACAATTTCTCTCAGTTGTATTTGGACTGTTTACATTTAGTGTAATTATTAATATATTTGGTATTAAGGCTTAGCATTTGCTTTTTTTTCTCTGCCACCATCTCAGTTTCCTGTTCTCTTTTAGATTATTCGATACTTGATTTTGTTTGTGCATTTTCTCTATTATTGCCAATAGGAACTTTTTTCTTTTAAGGTTTATTATTTTTAGTTATGTGTAGGCGTATGTGTCTATATGTAGGTATGCACATAAAGGCAATTGCCCTCAGATACATCAGATTCCCCTGGAGCTTGAGTTACAGAAGGTTGTTAGGTTGCCTGATGTGGATACTAGAACCAAGCTCAGGACTTCTGGAAGAGCCCTGTGTGCAGGATTAAAGGATTTTTTTTAATGGTACTAGTTTTTACTTGATCTTCAAAATGTTTTCTACTAGGTGTTGATTTTTGGCTGTTTACAATTTTAAGCACTGGTATAAGTCTTGGGCTGGTGATATTGCCTCATAGGACTTGAGTTCAGATCCCCAGAACCTGAATAAATCAATAAATAAATAAAGAGGCAGTGGTTATGGTATATTCCTGTGACCTCTTCACTTGAGGGAAGCGTTTGGTGGAGACAGATGGATCGTTAAAGTAGTGGACTTAGCTGACTCTTAGGATTAGGAGTTTCAGGTTTGGTGGAGACCCGTAGCTGAAGGACACCTGTCAGACTATGGGCACCTATGCACACCTGTCCACACTTGCACTGACAATGACACACAGGTTAACACACACACACCTCACCCCTACTGCCAAATATTCCTTGTATATGAGGTAAAGTTTTGATGGATTGGCTTTTCTCTAGAACAGTCTTCAAGTAGCAGTTTTTGTGTTAATCAGTACCCTACAAGAGAGTCTGATCTTCATTTGTGTTCTGGGAACCAAGTTGGAGGCCTCAAAGAGGAGTCTGCTGTTTCCCTAATTATGTAACATTTCAGATGCTCCCACCTCAAGAGCCCTCCACACCACCGTAAGCAGGCACTCTTCTCCTGAGGTGTGAGTCATGTGTGTGTTCAGAGAGTCCAGCATTTTGGACTTCATGTACCTTAAATCTGCCTTCCAGATCTTAGTTTTACTTTCTTCTTCCCAGGTCAGTTACCATTCCTTCCTGGTCCATAGCCCACAGTGACTTGCTCTGTCTTCCTTGGCCAGTGTCATGAGGTGTCAGCTCAGCTTTCTCTCTTGCAGTTATCATTTATCCAGAATTCACATGTTAGTCCCTTTCTGTTTGTTTCTTCTTCTAATGTCTTTATGTGTTTTTATCTTTAAAAAAAATTGGATTTTGCTGAGTTCCCTAGGGGAGTAACAACAAACATACATGCATTGCCATTTTATAGCACAGCTCCAGAGCTTGGCTTGGCACGCCCTTAAAAAGGCTTGCAAACATATCCACCAGGGGGCATGACCTATTGAAACTGCTCAGAGAATGCTTGAAAACCCCCAGCACACAATAGACAGGATTGGGAATGGAGGGGTCACAGAAGACTGAGAAGAGGTGCGTGTTTGCGTGCTTGATGCTGTCCAGCACAGACTCCTTTCATGTGGATGTCGATAACTTTTTACTAGGCCTTTATGAATAAATTTTTACTTTTATAATTTTATTCTGTTTATATAAATATAAAATCCCATAAGCTAAATACTTCTAAATATTTTTCATATGTAGAATATTTATCTTTAGATAAAGATAACTAAAGTGTTTTAAAAATTTCTTTTAAATTAAAGTATATTCTTTAAAATTTACATATTCATTTTGCTGTCATTGTCTTTATTGTGGTCAGTATAAAGAGTTCCTGCTGATTTTAGATGAACTATTAATTCAGAATTAGTAAGACTTTAAAAGTAGTTGATTATGGTTGCTGTAGAAATAATATACAGCCTGCTTTTACCAGTTAAAGAAACTATAGTTGATCCCAGCTTCTGGGGTCTTATAAAATTTAACTGTAAAATGGTCAGTGGTTGAAAACATGTTTTTGTATTTCTTTACCCCAAAGTACTCA